AGCTTCCATTGTAGAACGTTTCAATAGCATTTTAAAGAAGTGATGTGGAAAAGATTTAGTTTAAAAGGAAATTATCAATGGATTAATATACATAAAGATTTAATAGAACAACATAATATCAAAAGACATAGAGCATTATTTCTATTGCTAAAAATAATGAACGTTTTATACTTAAACAAGCATATAACCATATCAAAGTTTTTAAACCTGGTAAACTGAAAGTCGGAGATCATGTACTCATTAGTAAATATTAGCATGTGTTTGATAAAGGATATTCATAAAAATGGACCACTGAAATTATTAAAATTCGTATTAAGTACTAATCCTATAACCAATTTATAAGAAGATTATCAAAGAAAACCAATAATTGGAGGATCTTATGAAAATGAATTATTAAAAACACATTATCCAAACACATTTTTAATTTAAAAGATCATAAAAACAAAAGGAAACAGCGTTTTTTTTTTAATGGTTAAGGATTTCTAATGACCATAATTCTTGGATTAATAAAAAATTAAATAACATAAATAATAGAAAAATCATAAACTTAACTTTATTTCTAATTTGATTTTCATGATGTCAATAACAATTAATTTAACTGGGAATAGTTCAACTTTAGTGGGAGAATATTTTCCGTCAATTGAAATATCTTCACGCTATGTTTGTGGGCTTATAAATTTTGCAACAGATAATTCTATACCTAACGTAGATGTCTATAATAACTTATTTCATTTTGGAAATACCTATAGGTTCCTATGAACTTAAAGATATCGCCTTTTTCTTAACTTCAACTCTTAAAAAGATATTGATGCAACAGCTATACTTTTAATTGAAGCTATCAACAACACTCTTACAACTAAAATAACGACGTCTATGCATACTGATTTTTCTCATTCAAGAAGTATAGGACACTTTCTTGGGTTTAGCAGAAGGAAGCTAGAAGTTAATGAAGCTGTAAATGGAGTTCTACAGACCGTTCAAACAAAATTAGTTTTTCAAGAACAGAATTATAATAATATAAAAGTGACAAAATTTGAGTCCGATATACCTATAAATACAGTATATTTTGCTTAGCTGCACATCCTTCTTTGCACGAAAAACTTGTGCACTTAACCGAAAAAGGCACTTACGCGAATTTTCTTTACTACTTCAATGAGGAAGTTATCCAAATCCCTATTAAACCATATAATGCGAAATTTTTACCGAATAGTATCTAATTATCTATATAACTACATAAATTTATAGCCATTTTCGTTGTTTTGCGAGATGAACAAAATAAATAAAAAGTATAAAATTAGGTAATTGTAGGGCCAGTGCAGGTAAAGGTAATACTTTCTTTGGTAATTGATACTAGTCGCACAATATTTAAGGCAGGTATCGCCAATGTGCAGGTATGCTAAATGCATCTATCGGAGCAGTTTCCTTATAAATATTAAAAATAATGTCTCTGATGCGCATTTTGGGTTAGGTATCTTAAATGTGCACTTAAGCATAGAGGCAGCAAAGCGGTACTCACTTTCCGTAGTATTTTAGGTATAAAGTTGCTACGTAGCAATGTAGCACGCATTTTGTTGTTGGAAGAGCAACAAAACATGTGGTAGATTGCTACACCTAAAATGCTACTCAACTTGAGCTCTCATACTGTATTATGAATGTAAACACAGTGCGTATTGAATGTAATATAATAGTTAACTCATATATTAACAATAATTCTGATCATACTATTCGTGAGATTTCTCTAGATGTTTCGCCTGGGTATAAAATAAATGAGAAACCTGCAAATGTAATTTATTTACCTGTGAACTGTAGAGATATAAACAATATAACAATAAAGTTATTAGATCAAGACGAAAACTTATAAATTTCCGAGGAGAAAAAATTACTGTTAGATTACATTTGAAACCAAAATAATGATTATCTATATTTATAAAAATGAATTTCTGTTCGTTAGTCTCGCTAAAACTCGAGAACGGCTGGACCGATTTGACTAATTTTGGTCTTGAATTATTTGTGGAAGTCCAGGGAAGGTTTAGAAGGTGAGTAAATATGATAAAAATGCTAAGAATTGAATATAAACAACAACTTTGTTTTTCCTTAGAAATAGGGATGGTCGATTATCATTGTACACGGAAAACTCTATGAAATTGTGAAATCGTGACGTCTTAGCTTTCTTAATATTTTGGCAATAACAACAAAAAGTTTAGATTTTTTTTATTCGAAAAACCTTCCACACGGAGGTCCAAAATAGTACTTTTTACATAATTGAAATCGGTTCAACCGTTTGGTCAGGCATCGCGGTCATTTTTATGTATATAGATATCTCTGGAAATGTTCATGATAGAGTACTGGAACTTGGTTTGGAGATATATGAAATCAATCACATACTCATGGAGAAAAATGGGCTCTTTAAAAAGAGGGAATGGCAAAGTACAAACGTACTGCCTTTGCCTTATCTTTGAATGTGTACATAGGTATGTTTGTGAGTGAAATCCTGAATGGCTGGAGGGATTTCAACAAAGTTATGTGTGTGTGTTTGAGTGGATCTCTGGATAGTTTAGTTTGACAATTGAACACGCCAGTTGGTGCTGGAGTTGAGTTATTACTAAAAATCTTTTTTTATGATCCGATTTGGCGAATATTCAAAACATGTACTGGACACGGTTGAGACAGTCCAATTGCAAAAAAAGACCGGTGAGGTGATGCTGAGGTCGAGTTATTACTAAAATCGATAAGTGAGAAAAGGTGCCGAGAATGTCAGTCTAAATCGACCTGTTGCACCATATCGAACTCTCGTGTGTTACGATTGGCCCAATGGATGTGATTTGCCAATATTATTATGCGTTAAAGCTTCATTCCGACAGGGTTGAAGTTGTGTAGTGGCAAATCTCAAATCACCACCTGTCGAAATATATTTCTTTAATTGAATTTAATATAGAACCTGATAGAAACATAATTTTTCACTTAAATTGCTTTCGTGAAACTGCTTTTTAAGGTACTTCATCTCAGTCTATGTATGTATATTGTATATCTGTTGAACAAGAATACGCATCCATTTTGAAATTGCCACCAGCTATAAAGTTTCCAAGGCAGATTCAGTATAGATCCGGATCATTGTTGCCACCATGGAACTTCTTCATGGACATAACACCTTCGTTAGGTTATTAAAGGCGGCAAACGACCACCAAACCATAATCTTAGCCGATGAATGTGCTAATGGAAATCGTAAGCGTGGACTGTTGGAGAAAATGTTGGATCAAAATGGTTAAATTAAAAATCTAATTTTGGGCGGGACGACGTTCGCCGGGTCTGCTAGTTTACAATAAAAACATTATACGCAGAGAACCTTTATTTGGTATATCTTCACGCTTTGATAAGGAAGCAACAAAGGGTTATCAAAAACGTCGTAGGGATCACTAATTAAACTTAGTAAGGAGTACTTAATAGCTCTAGAATTAAAATTACAATCATGAGTGAAATACTTAATGTATATCAGAAACCTTTAACTGAGGAAATTATTATAAAAAGAGAATATCATAGCTTTTAACAACAATGATGAGATTCGTATACCTATTCAAAATCAAGATTTATTTGTATTACCGAGTGAAAGTGTAATCTATATTCATGGCTTCATAACGAAAATTGATAAAACTTCTACAGAATTAAAACTGAAGAATAATTTTGCAGCATATTTATTTGATGAAACACGTTATGAAATTAATGGGTTTGAAGTAAATCGCACTCGAAATCTTGGAGTTGCAACTATGTATTATAAAAAATTTTATATCATTAAATGAGTAAGAAAGCGATGCATTGAAAAACGCTGGTTGGTGTTTAGAAGAAAATCTACTCCTAACGAAGACTCACTTTAGCTGTTGTATTCCATTAAAAATTCTGTTGGGATTCGCTGAAGACCATAATACAATAATATTAAATGTTAAACATGAGTTAATCTTTCAACGTTCCAGATCTGGTGAAAGAGCTTATCATTCAACTTCCGCAAATGACCAGTTAAAGCTTACAATATTAGATGTAGTGTGGAAAATTCCTCATATTCAATTATCAGATTTCGCAAAACTAGAAATGTATAAGATAATCACTAATAAAAATCCCATTCCTATTACATTTCGTAGTTGGGATCAGTGTTGCCGTTTTAGCCCTTTGGTGGCTAGATTTAGCTACCACATACTTTTTTTGGCCACATAAATTTAAAATTGCTCCTAGCCCTTTTTTTAGTCGTTCGGAGAATTTATTCAGACTTGGCATGAAAATGTTGTATATTTGCTTAATTTAAACTAAGAAAGACTGATACATATACATATGCGTATTGTATGTTCCTTACGTTTTGATACATACATACTGTAAAAGTGTTAGGGCTGTTAACTTATCTATTTACGATTTAACTATAGTTTAAAATAGATAAGTTAACGGCCCTTAATATGCTTAATTTGTTAAATGGCCCATCAAGTCGATTGGCCGTATATGTTCTTGTCGGGTGATTGTACCAGGTGCTGGTGCGACTTCAAAAACTATTTGAAAATTTTATGATGGTACTAGCATGCTGGTGTCGTGAGAGGTGAAATTAGCTCAAGCCAGCCTAAGTACCTAATTTTTTCGTGCCCCATTAACAATTTTACTTACAATTTTCCCTTTTTAAGTGCTCTTTTAAAATTCCTTAAAGTATTTACGTATTTTCAAACTCAGTAGCAGCGCTACACACCTTCGGTAAACAAATTCTAAAAAATTAACGGTAACTTTTGGCCACTTGAAACTTGCACATTATTACACTAAAATTTAATGGGCTATAAAACTATATACTAAAAGACATTTCTGAGAAAAAAGTTTGAAATTATGATGATTTTTTTTTTAAGTGTTCTACAAAATCTTAAGCTTAGGTTTATATGGTATTTGTTAGGGATT